GACTCTAGAGCCTATGACGTACTTTCTTTCGTTCGCGATCCAACCCTCCTCAAGTAACTCTGGTAGAGTCCGTTTTTAACAGACGGTTTTGAGGAAAAACTATTTGAAGGGAAAACAAAGTAATAATAACAAAAAGGAGTAAATATATTTTTGAAATTAAGGGGCAAATTTTAGAAGAGCGTAGAATGAATTTTCGCTTAAAATAAACTCGTATCTGAAAAAAAAAAGAAAAACCTATTTTCACCTCAGGGCATTTGAAAGTTTTATTAAATCCGAACGATGTTTCCAAAATTTCTGACGATTACTCTTCTCTTTAATGGGAGTCATACACCTTTTTTGCCATCTATTCTGAGATTAAATCTTAAGCGATCCCGCACACGAGCAGAGGTTGTACCTTCCTTCCTCGGCGCTTGTACGAAAGGAATCTGGGGCCAGGCTCGACATTCAAGATGGCCGCTATAATCTCTTTCAAGGAACTTTAACAACTAGGGCTTATTCTTTCCATCTCGTTCTTCTTTTATAAATGTCTGCTCACAAAAAGTGAGATTAAGATGCAGATTATTAATCTGTGTCACCACAATTAAGGGAATATTCGGTGAGAGATGAAATTTCTGTGTTTGAGTGCGACGAGAATTATGTTTCCAAGGGGACAGCACTCAAAGTATGTCAGGAATTGACAGAAATCCGCGAAAGAACGTTTTAGAGAGGTAACCTTTCAAATATTCTAGAACATGGTAAATTTGCTATTGAGTTTGGCAAGATTTCTGCACAGCCCCATCTTTCACTTTGAGTACAGATAAATCCTCCGTTTGGAACCCCCTTTTAGTTTTGTGTGTGATTGGCAAACCCCGCTCTTTCAATTCTCTTTTAACCCTGATTAAATATGCTGATGAAAGTGCCAAAGTTCAAAGGAGGCTGCAGAGGGTATCTTCTGCACTTGTTTCACCACCCACCCCTTTTCTTAAAAAAAAAAATCTAGCTGTAGCCATAGGCATGACTTATCATAAACTATTCCATTTCCATCGAGAAAGAGAACTTTGAAGTTACTAACTTGACCAAATTCTGTGCTAGGCTAAGGGACAGAGAAAGAAGTAGGGACTGGTCTGCCTTTGACAAGCCCTACAGAAATCGATCATGGTCCGCAGATTCCAATACTACATGGGAGAAAATTGTCCCTCCAAGGAAACCAACAAGCCCTGCTTACCTCCCTAAACTCAAAAACCGGCCAGCCTCAGTGGATTCAGATTATAATCAAGATTTGAAGCGTGGAAGCCTGAGTGTCATTCCTCCATTGCCTGCTGGACAGCAACATGGTGTACCCAAAAGGTACATGTTACCAAAGATGGAAAGGATTCTGTTGATGTGGCATGTAGATGTTTGTGTTATCATAAATCTCTTTAGGACCCATTAAAACAGGTTGTAGTATTGGGGGTTTTAGATATCTTTGGTAATGATACATTGATGGATGTCTCAAAGACTCAGACCTCGAAAACTCAGACCCCAGACCCGAAAAACTCAGACCCTTTGGGTGTCTCGAAAACTCAGACATGAAAAACTCAGACCCTCTGGGTGTCTCGAAAACTCAGACCCAAAAAATAAAACATATTTACACCGTGTGAATGCCGCAAGCCAACTTTTTTACTGTTCGTCGATACAGTGGCATTACATGCACTGATCATAAAAATTATCTGCTGAGAAAAGAAAAAACAGCTTGCAGTGTTAGACACATGCAACAATCATGAAAATTATACTCAACATTCGTATAGATTTTTTGGGTCTAAGTTTTCAAGACGCCCAGAGGGTCTGAGGTTTTCGGGTCTGGGGTCTGAGTTTTCGAGGTCTGAGTTTTCGAGACACCCATACATTGATCATAGACAATGCTTAAGGTCCAAACATGGTCCAAATTCCAGGTAACTGGGTCATTTTATCCAGAACTTCTTGAGCTTCCTCTCTCAGAAGAATTTGAGCAACTCTTTCAATGAGTAATGAAACTCTCCAGGAAACCAAAGTAGTTGCATGAATTTGAAAGCAATCTTCACAGTAATGATAACATTAACTACTTAAGCAATAGTGAAAATAAGATCCGAAAAAGTATCAGGCCTGTATGGGATTTAGTTGCATGTAGTCACCAAATTTTTCAACTTTTTTATTTCCAAGTAGAGTATCCTAACTTATAACTGAGCAATTCAGAATTTTCGGAAAGTTTGAATACAATTTGAATGTTTCAGCTCCATGTGAGTTTCTGTTCTCACTGGACAGAGTTACAGAATGTTATATGTTTCTGTTTTCTTTTTCTGCAGGTATGATCCAACCAAAAGAAAAAATTCAAGACAAGAAAATCAGGCCTTTCAAAGTCATAATGGCAGTTATCCATATGCAGTTCGGCCATCTTACTACCCCCACCCACCTGAAGGACCCCCTTTCCACCCCCCTATGATGTACCCGGTTCCCATGATCCCAGTGCATCCTGGGTATGCTTCTTGGCTTGTACCCCAGCAAGGCTTTAATGGAGTCAACAGTGGTCCTTTTAATGCTCATTATGCTGAAAGGTAATGAGAAGGAGTTGGTAGATTTGTTAGAATCCCTTTCATTGGCAGGTTTCAACCAATGTCTATTGTAAATAAGACAAAGAATATATTGTGATAACTGATAAGGTTTTTAATCATGCTGTGATCATTTAAATCAGTGGTAGAGGAGGTTCCAGGGGATTTGCATCTTCCCTTTCTTATCAGACCTGTGTTTTTTTTTTTTTTGCCACTTCTCTGATATCAAAACTCTTACAACAACAGGAGCACAGTGGTAATGTTTCTACACAATATGAAGTATTTCATATTTAACTGCCTTGCAACATTTCTTAGCTTTAAGGAGATAAATTTCTAATTTAAAAGAAACTGTAGTGCTGTGTCAGTGTGGAGTATAACAAAAGAATTTAGTTTTATTAACTGAGCTGGTCAGGGAAAAGAATTTCTAAAGTTTCAGAAAGTTTCTTAGCTTACTTAAGATACAGTGTTGAGAAAAAAAATGTCTGTTTGTGAATCCAATCTGGGACTCTTGGACCTCCCCCCCCCCCCTTCTCCTGTCAAAAAATTCTTGGATCCTCCCCTGCAGGGTTATGAAGGACCATTGTCGGTTACAGAGACTGATGTTACAATAACCTTAACCCCTTTAACCTCTGACAAAATTAGTATGCATATTCTCCATATTGTTCTCTATACATTTCCTAAGGTGCTGACAAGGAGAATTTGTTTAATAATCAAGAACTTCCGTTAGTTGGTGATCATTTCCTTTATTCTCCTGACCTTAATGTGTGATTCAGGGGGGATATTGTAAGGAGAAATTAGATGCTGGTCACCCCTAGAGGTTAAAAAGTTAACAGAGCTCATCATCAGAGTCAAGTGAATAAAAAAATGGTCTCTATTGTATTCTTCCTTGCCTACCCTACATGTAATTAATACAAAGCTGAAAAATTAATATTGAAGTTCCGGCTGTATGGAGCTAGCAGAGCCATGCATCAGAAGAGTCAAGTACAGTCTAATTCATTAACACTTATCAGTCAATTTTGGATAAAATTTAGACTTTTTTTTGAAGCCCATTTGGATTTGATGATCAGATGGGTGTAATTTAGACTGATGCTCTACCTGGTTGGTTTCAGGTCTGCTGCATTCTGAACAAATTTGATTTTCTTCTTCTCAGACCACCTCACCAGTTATCGCGATCTCAAGCAGCAGTTGTCATCCAGAAATATCACAGAGGCTGGCAAGTTAGAAAGGTTAGGCATATGTGATCACTTGGGACAAAGTTAGTGTTTGATATTATACAGACCTACAAAACTACAAGGCTAAGTTTTACAACTTCACTAAAATTATGCATAAAAATTGTCCCTTAGTCAACAGGAATATGTTTTCAACCTACACCCCATACTAAAAGAGGTTTTTTTTTCTGTTATTTTGTGCTGTTGGCAGGGTCCTCACTTTGCACTCTGGCGCCACATGTGTAATGAGAAATTTTCAAGAAAATTTGTAGAAGATTTGATTGACAGCTTTCTGATAGAAGAAATTGTTCCAGATGTCTTGATTGATGTTTTGGTTGGTAAAAAATTCTTGGTAGGTCCCATCTGTTTTCAATTGTTTTATACTTTGTTGTCCAGACCTGTAGTTTATTATAGTTGGATGTTATAGAGCCTTACTTTGAATCTCCAATATCAAAAATTTTTTTCCAATAATAATCTAAAGCTCTGCACACTTCCTAATCACCATTTAGATTTTTAAAGGCTTTTAAACTTTTCTAGGGTTGCAAGGATTAAAAAATGATCAGATCAAAACTACAAGGATATTTAAAATAATACATTTTTGCGCTGTAATTATCAGAGTTTAGGTCCATACATCCAAAAATTCTGCAAATTAAAGCAGCTTTACTGATTAGAAACTCTTTTCCTCCCTGTTAGTTAATATAATCATATTAAAAACTTCCTGTGAGCTCTGAAACCAAACCACTACTATATCTTAACTCACTGAAAGTGAATGTTCAAGCTTGTGGTAAATTTCGTTTCAGTCTGTTCAAGATCCTAGATACAAAGTCAGTGAGTGGGTCTGCAGGGAAATCATTGATCAAGAGGTTACTGCCTTTATTTGTGAGGTCACCCTTGGGGTCTATTATTCTCATGGAGGAATGTGAGTATTACATTTACAACCTACCCTGCAATGCAGTCCCTTGAATCTTGAATATCTAGAATCTCCAACTATCTGAACCGTAGGAAACATCTTTGACAGCAGAAGTGTGCTGCTAAAATATCTGTGCTGTCAGAAATTTTAGCAGGAATTCTCAGATCCCTTAATCAGAACTTCATAGATTGGTGATCATTTTGGTTATTCTCCTCATCTTAAAAATGATTCAGCAGTTTTACTGTTAGGAGAAATGAGATGCTGGTCATTCTTTGGGTTTGAGGGGTTAGTTACTCCCAAGCTGATCAGTTACCGAATATTCCTGCATCATTGCATCCGCTGTACATTGCAATGATGCTGTAAACAAAAGTAAGGTCATAATTGCCTTTGGGGAATAAATTAACTCAGGAAAACAAAAAAGCAGAAGCATGAAATGTTTTAAACAGCCATCTTATCCTTCTCCCATCTTTTTGGTAGAACTGTAAGGTCAATAATTCATTTCTTCTATCCTCTTTGTGCTTTCGTGGATGTGTAGTTGGTTTTTTCAGATGGTAATGTATTTAACAATTATTCTCCAAGGGCGAGGTGAATATCGTTGAATAATCCCTGGGACGAAGTTGAGGGGATTATTGGACAATATTCACGGAACCTGAGGCGAATAATTGTTTTAGTATAATTTCAGAGCTGAACAACAGAGAAATTTCTAAAATCATAACATTTTAGTAACATTTATTAACATTTTAGTTTAACATTTTATATAAACTGGGCGGAGCGGTTTATATAGCGTCATGTAAGGAACCGCTCAACCAATCAGATTGCTGGAAACTCTTTGTTCAGCTCTGAAATTATACTAATTATCTATATTTATTTTTTATGCTCAGTGCCTATTCCAGACAAGATCCATCTGTAAAAGTGTGTGACAGTATCATTGGTGAAGTTGTACAAGAATTTGCTGGGCAACTTGTGCGCTCTTTGGTGGAGGAAATGGTCTTGGGTCACATGGCTGTAATTAAAGCTGGCGACTGGCTAGAGAATTTCATATTAGAAACAATTGAACCGATGCTTCCAGTAGTGGTAAGAATGTTCTCTAGAGCTTTAAAGGTCATTCGTAAAGACTGCTTGTTTGTTTTTTTGTTTGTTGATAGGTTTGTTTTTGTTTGCTTTTCTGTTTTTGTTTTGTTTTGTTTTGTTTTTTTTTTAAAGAGAGCAAGCTAGATTCAAAATCAAGCAGCTTAGGTTTGAGTCCAGTCTGGGGAGTCTGGGGTCCCTGTGTTGTGTTCTTGACTGAAAGACTCGTCAAATTTTTACGTCTTCCCTAACCAGGGGTAAATGAGCATGTCACTCCTGACTCCCTTGGGAGTCCGAGGTTTTGCCGGTCACATGACTTTTGGCTGGAATCGCTATGTGCTCGGGTTTGCGGATGTTTTGTTTAGTTTTTTATCCATTGAAGAGAGTTTTAAAAAGGGCGTTATTGTGTCTTTCGTTGGCTTAAGTGAACGGTTCGGTGTGTTAATATTTGTTTTTTTTGTCGTTCAGGCAGTTATTTGGAGTTTGATGCCTTCTTTGTTTGTTATTTTCAGAAAACCTTACTTTCACTTACTTTCACTTACTTTCACTTTCATTGACCGAGGCCGTGCGGCCAATGTATGAGCTCGAGTTTTCGGCGTTCCTTTGAGATAAATAAACACAGTACTACGGTACGAACAGAGCACTAGAAAAAGTCAGAGTAACTGATAATGCTGGGGCTGAATCACTCTTAAGGCACTCCACTTGATAAAGAACATTTTTGTGATATTTAGGTTTAGAGTAGGCCGGTAACTTGTGAATAAGTCTTGACTTTGATTACCAGCTAAAGATCTCAACAGTTATGGAGTTTGCTGTGCTGAAGGTGAAAGGAGATAATTTCGTGTATACATAACCCTTTGACCCCAAGAGTGATCAGCATCTAATTTCTCCTTGCAATATCACCCCTCAGTCACACAGTAAGGTCAGGAGAATATAGGAAATCATCACCAACTAAACAAGCACTTGATTACCAAACTAATTCTCCTTGTCAGCACCTTAAGAAATGTATAGAGAATATGCCGACTGATCTTTAGGGTGAAAGCAAATTTCAGCATGAATTATATTTTTGGTTATATCAACTAAGTTGAAATTGTAAATTGGCCACCGTAACGAATAAAAAAGCTGACGTTTCGAGCGTTAGCCCTTCGTCAGAGCGAATGGAGGAATTGTGGGTTGTATGTGGTTTTATATCCAGAAAGCGGAGCTACGCCATTGGTGGGAAGAATGGGAACAATACCTAGAGTAATATTTAACTTAACACTGTAATAATAAACAATAATAAAAAGACAGCATTGTTCATTGAAATCCTTAAGATACTGCAAGAAACAATTTACGATCGTTGATTTTCATTCTCACTTTAGGTCACTGAGGCCGTGAGTGGATTCCAGAACGATGACCCACTTGATGACATTATCGATGAGGTCATAGCGTCTGAATTAAGACAAGTCGTTATCGATGCTTGGCAGGAATTGATGGAGGTTGACAAAGAAAAACAAGTGAAAAAGGTAACTGCCTGGCTGCAACTTGCCAGCAGAAATGGCTATGGAAACCGCAATATCTCGTGTATCCACAGCTAAAAGTATTCTCTTGGCCAGGTGATATTTTCTGGAAAAGACTGCGAAAAGGTCTCAAAAAATATTTATTTTGATCCTATGCTTGTGAAAGAAGATATCAATTTTATTTAGAGGGAAATTTAATTCTCAGTTGAAACGCTTTGGATCTAGATATTTCTCAGTATTTCACGATTATCAATAATGGTTTTTTTAGTGTCGTATGACCAAATCTAAAGTATTTCACAGTTGCCAAACAAGCCTCTAACGAGTGCTCAAAATAGAAACCAGTAAACTACAGGTGCGATCAGTTTAATGGCAATTGGTTTTGGTTTTCTCTTTTTGGTCTGGAGAGGGCGGCACAAGTTTTCTAGAACGATCACAGAGCGAAGCGTGAGTATTTTAGGCCAATCACAGAGCGTTTCGCGAGTTTCTTTTTTAGACCAATCACAGAGCGCTTGTTTACCGGAACAACCAAAGAGCATTCCGTGAGTTTTCTAGACCAACCACAGTGCATGGCGCGTGTTTTCCAGACCAATCACGGAGCGTGACGTGAGTTTTCTAGACCAACCACAGACCGTGACGTGAGTTTTCCCCTTTGGGGTATGTTGGTGAACATGTAGTGATGTTTGGTTAACAAGTCCAGTATAAAAATCCACTTTTCTTATGCAAAGATTTGAGGAAATTAAAAGAACTTCTGTGGAAAACAAAAGTAAAATTTTTGTAAGAAGGATTTTTTCTTGTTGTTTTCGTTGCAGCTCTCTGTTTACGCAGAGGATCACCTTTTAGACTCAATGTGTCTACAGCATCTTTTGAGTCAGTTGGCCGGTGATAATTTGTCCTTTCATGTTAGAAATTATACACAACAGGCTTTAGACGGTAAGGGGACAGTTTAATGTTCTATTAACTCCCTAAAGTTACAATGGTTTGTGTTTTTTTCATTCCCTGTAAAACCTATACCTATTCCGATTTATAACACTAGTGTCCGTTTTCCGATTTTGGACGTCAGCGTCCCATTTCTGATTTGGTCGCCTGTGTCTTTTTTCCGATTTTGGAAGCTAGTGTTCAATTTCCGATTTTTATTTTGAACAAAGGAGAGCTCGAACATTTCAAACCACCTGTACCCGTGCAATCAGTGTTATTAGTTATAAATTGTTTATCAGTTTTTTGTTGTCCGGTAATATTTTGCTTTTTTTCTCTTTTCTTTATTATTTTTTAAATACACACCAATTCAATTGGGGGTAACTGGGTCTTTATTGCCTAAGACCATACGCGATGCTCCCCATGATAGGGAGGTAAATAGAAGAAAAAAAAATTTACAGATTGCACTAAGTACAAACAACGTTAATCGCTCGCTGATCGCAAAGAGAATGCTGACAAATATGCCAACTGTTCGCTTATACCCGCTGGGCGTGGCGTAGAATTTCCGCTGCGGTATGTAATTGTGATAAACAAGTCTATCACCCACTTAAATTCTTTTTTTACATTGGACCAAATGTCTGGTCCTCCTCGGAGTTGACTCGACAAAACATATGTTTGGCCGGAAATTGACTGTCGCTGGCCGTTAGTTCAAGCTCAACCTCGTTCCCTGGGCTTTTCCCTTTTTGAATATTTTGGGGGGCGGGAAAAGCATAAATTATCAGATTTCGTAAGCCAATCAAAAACGAGAACTCATCAGCCTCTGCCAGGGCCCTTTTCCGCCCCTCAAAATATTCAAAAAGGGAAAAGTCCTGGGAACGAGGTTAGTTCAAGCTTTGATGCTTTCGGGAAGCTTCTGGAGCGATCTGTCATCACCTCTACCTTTTAATTTTTGTAATTTTTTTTTCCTGTAACAATCTCGGAAAACTGCTTGTTTTTCCTTTTTGTAATTGTCTTTTTTTTCTGTATTTTTCTCCAGTAGAAAAGAAGTAATTATTTCCCATCATTAAAATTCAGTTTTATTTTTTTTTTATCACAGGCACGTTATGTGGATTGCTGATCCGTAATTATTTAGCCATGAATGATCAACTGGAAGCGACACGGGGCAACGCTACCGTAAAAGAATTTCATGAAGAGGTTTTCTGTGATGTGGTAAATAAAAAACTGCACATCTTCTGCACATTTCTTTAAAATGCTGTTTGATTAGTAGCAAGTGCTTTCGGCACTCCTTATTGAGACCCAAATGAAGGCACTAGAAATGTCTAAATTATAATTTTCAGATGGTGTTTTTCTTAGAAAACGTAACAGAGACATTTCTTTAAATGAACGTAGAAGAAGTTTCTCGTGCACGCTACGCAGTGATTTGTCTAGAGTGATTTGTCTCTCGTGCCTCTTTCCCAACCAACATAACTGAAAACAAAAATTACTCGCGTTTTCCCGCGCTTTAGGCAGAATTCTTGTTTCTACTTTCTCGTTGGCTCCAAGTGACATATCCCCTTTTTCTGATTGGGTGTTGTAATTTCTTTGGTTTCGGATCCACTAAACGCCATTGAAATGGGTTCTAATGAGGACGAATGAATAAAGGGAGTAAGCTGTGGTGCTGCGTCGGTGGAGGAGTATAACAAGGTCATTTTGGTTTTATCAACTGAGTTGTTTATATAAATTGGCCACGGTAACAAGTTTCAAAGCTGATGTTTCGAGCGTTAGCCCTTCGTCAGAGCCAAGTTGGCTCTTCTTCCTGACAAAGGGCTAATGTGGACGACAGATCTAACCTTGAAAATAAAATTGCGAATGCAGTCCATAAATAGTAATAAATATAATGATATTGATACTTATTATTATAGTTAAGTAACTGGCCTCCTCGTCAATAAAAATTGTAACGATGATATTAATGATCCGTATCAAAAGAGATTTCTTGAGACATAAAACTATAAAAACGAAGGATAAAATCCTACGTTTCGGAGTAGTCGTGACTTCATTATCAAGGAAAACATAAAAAGATCATGCAAATTGCAACATATAAAGCGTTTTTGGTGCGAAGAATTTACATAAGAGGGTGCGAAGATCATAAAAATATAATGAAAATACTTTCGCACGAGTGGAGTCTCGACGTGCAACCAGACTCCATTCGTGCGAAAGTATTTTAAAAATATTTTTATGATCCTCGCACCCTCTAATTAACAATTATTCCACAAGCGCGCGTTGGATATGAGATGATAGATAGCCAACGAGGCGCGTAGCGCCGAGTTGGCTATAATCATCTCATATCC